AATTCAATCCAAGATGCTCTTTAAGTAAACCTTGGGTCCACAGAGATTATGAAGAGAAGTTTTCTGTTGAAAGGACGGGCATTCCCAAGCTTCTATCATCCTTTTTTTTTTTTTTAATAAAATTACCCTTGTTTTTAAATTGTGACCTTATTATTTATTGTCTGGAGGAAATGGTTCTAACGCTAAGAATCTTCCTTGTAGATAGCAGGCAGGCAGAAATATTACGGAGGAAGAAAACCAAGGCTCCCATTTCCCCTCCCCTGCACCTTCTACCCCTCCACACATCCCCTGGCACCCCTCTGTCATTTTGCTTTCTCAATGTTAAATTCTCCAATTCTTTTCTGGAGACTCACGACACGTTGCAATCCTCAGTTTTCATGGTTGCAGTTACTATTCATTCCATGAGGTGCTCGCTCCATCAATGCCAGGCAACGCCTAAGATGGCATCCAGCCAGCACCCTGGGACTCCTCTTCCAACTGAGGATGCCTTAAAAGGCAGATGACATAATCATTTGGGGAACATTTTTTATAAACTTATTGTATAATGTTTATAGCAAATGTCAACAAGTGTATATGTGTGTGGTGGTGGAGGGGAGGCCTTAGCGAGTAGTTGCCCTGGTTGCTCAGGGATTTAGAAATAATAGGCACATCTCTGTTCCTGCAGGCTTTGACAGTTTACAAGATGCTTTTATAACCAGTCGTCTGCTCCATAAAACACCCAGCAGGGATTTGTTCTGAAGTTTGAGTTGCAAGATGAGCACTGGTAGGTCCCTTTCATAGACATCTTCCATCTGCTTTGGTCCCACAAGGTGCCCTTCTTTTGCATCCCACAATTCCTTGTTCTTACCTTTGTGATCGCCCCTCACACTGTTGGCAGGACCTTGCTATTGATGTGTATCTAGCATATTTCCCAGAAGGTTTTCATTTTTAAAAGTTCCAAGAGTGAGAACTTTGTTTCAGATAGGTTAAACATCTCTATGCTTTTTGGTAGGTATATTATCCACATTTTATGACCATAGTTTTTGGTAACTGATTTAGAAAAAAAAACTTGACATGGCCAAAATACACCAATTAGTGGCAGGGCCTCATTATCTATCCAGACACAGCTCTTTATTTTAAGGGGCTGGAGGTGGTGGTGGTGTTGCAAAGCAGTGCCTTTGAATTGTGGTGCTGGCCAAAAGTACTGAATATGGCATGGATTTCCAGAAGAATAAACAAATCTGTCTTGGAACAAGTGCAGCCAGGGTATTCTTTAAAGGATAGGATGGTGAGACTTTGTCTCACATACTTTGGGCATATATATTATCAGGCGGGGCAGTGCTTGGAAAAAGACATCTTGTTGCGAAGGGTAGAGGGTCAACGAAGGACAGGAAGACCCTCAGCGCGATGGATTGACACAGTTACTGCAGCAACGGGTTTAAGGACAGCAGAGATGGCTCAGGATTGGGCTGAGTTTCAATCTATTGTCCATAAAGCAGCTATGATTCGTAGCCAACTCAGCAACACCTAACAACAACAATGTCCATACCCTTGAAACCAGTGATCGTGTCCCTTTCTGTGGCAAAAGTTACTTTGCAGGTGTGACTAAAACAAGCATTTTTGCACTGGGGTGATTACCCTGGATCATGGCGTAGATTCATGTAAGGGGAACTGGGAGGCAGGAGGAGCAGGCTCAGAGAAGGAAATGTGACAAAGGAAGCAGAGGTCTGAGTGACCCAACCATGAGCCAAAGAATGCAGAAGCTGGAAAAAGCAGGGCCACAGGTTTCCCTCCAGACCCTGTAGAAGGAGCTCAGCCCTACAGACCCTGATTTTAGCCCGTCACTTCAGGACCGTAAAGCAATCAATTTTCTTTCTTTATTTCATGTCTTATGCCATTAAGTGTGTACAACATGGTCACAGCAGCATGAAACTAATATAGATTGAGCTCCTATTTCTTCCAGCCCTAGCCTCATTGCTGGAATGCAGGGGTGGGGGTGGGGGGTGGTGGGAACACGAACTCAACAAGAAAATAAACTCTCCAAACTAAATCCACTGCTGTAAAAATTGATTATGACTCATGTTGTTGTTGTTATGAGCCCTGGGGTCAACTACAGCTCATAGTAAACCTATGAACAACTAATTGTTCTGTACCCTGCCCTATCCTGTGCCATCCTCATCATCGCTGATATACTTGAGCCCATTGTTACAGTCACCATGTCAATCCATCTTGTTGAGGGCCTTCCTCTCCTATGCTGACCCTTTTCCATGCATGATGTCCTTCTGCAAGGACTGGCCCCTCCTTAGAACATGCCCAAAGTGTGTGAGATAGAGTTCCAATTTTCCCTGCCTCCCAAAAGCACCCTGGTTTCACTTTCTCCATGACAAGCCTGTTTGTTCTCTCGGCAGTCCATCAGATATTCAGTATTCTTCTCCAACACCATAACTCAAAGGCATTGATTCTTCTGTCCTCCTTATTCATTGGACAATGTTCAGATGCATAGCAAGTGATTGAAAAGACTATGGCTTGGTTCAGGCACACCTTAGTCTTTAAACTGACATTGTTGCTCTTTAGCACTCTGGAGAGGTCCCTGACAGCAGACTTTCCCAATGTTTTTTTATTTCTTGACTGCTGGTACCAAAGGTATTGCTTGTGAGTCCAAGTTAGATGGAGTTATTGACAACTTCAATCATAATAACACCAAAGGACAGTGTTCCATAGGGTTTCCAGGCTATAATAGTTAGAGAAGCTGACTACCTCACGGCTAGTGTTTAGCAATCTAGTTCAGTTGACCACTGTGCTGCCATGGTTCCTTCATAGGCAGCCTCTCTCATGGATTCAATGTGCATTCCTTCTCTTAGCATGCAGGCATTATTATCTCATTATATTTCACTTTGCTTTATTGAGCTTCAAAGATAATTGCAGATAGATGATTTTTTTTTAACCTATTGAAGATTTGTGGCAACCCAGCAACTAGCAAGTCTATGAGTGTACCAGTTTGCCAAAAATGTGTACTCACTTCGGTTCTCCGTGTTAGATTTTGGAATCTTCGCAGTATTTCAAACATTTTCCTTAGAAATGAGGCAAGATTTTGTTTCATATGCTTTGGACATGTTATTAGGCTCTGGTAGCCTAGTGGTAAGAAGCTGTGCTGCAATCCTGAAGGCATGTGTTTCTAATCCACCAGGTGTTTCTGGGTCAGTTCCGACTCGATAGTACACAACAACAGGAACAGTCCCCGTAGAAGGTGCAGGGTCCTGGAAAAAGAAAGACCCTCAATGAAATGAACTGACACCATGACCGCACCAATGGCCCCAAGATTTTTGAGGATGGCGCAGAACCAGCCAACACTCAGCTATAGTGAAAGTGGTTGAGTCAGAACCAGCGCAATGGCACCTCACGTGGCACACTTAATACTCTCTCTTTCATTGAAATAGAGTCAGAACTGACTCATAGTTGACCCTCAAGCAACTTTTTTGGAGGCTGTAAATCACACAAGAGGAGAACCAGAGAACGTGAACTTTGGCTTAGCAGCACAACTCCCTACAGACTATGCTACCAAGAGCTCTCTTAATAGACTATAACATAGTGTAACTATATCTTGTAGGGGAGTGCTGGTGGCCTAGTGGTAAGAAACGGCACTGTAACCACAAAGGCTTGATGTTCAAATCCACCAGCTTCTCCGCAGGAGAAGGATGGGCAATCTCCTCCAGTGCGATTAACTGTCTCTGAAAACCTGTTGGAGAGTCTGCTATAGGTCGGTTCCAACTTGATGGTACTTAACAACAACATACTCAGTAATGCTCTGTTGTTGTATGTGCCATTGAGTCACCTGTGACTAATAGCAACATGTACGACAGCCTAAACCCTGCTCTATCCTGTGCCAACAGTATTGTATCTGACACACCTACCCCCATAACCCCAGTCACTGAATCAATCCATCTCATCAAGGGTCATCCTCTCCTGCTCTGTCCCTCCACCCTCCCAAGCATAATGTCTCTCTCCGTCAGACAAAGCTTCAGAATCCTTGCTTCCAAGGAGTAGCTTGGTTTAACCCTCTCCTGGACAAACCTGTTCATTCTCTTAGCAGTCAATGGTATATTCAATACTCTTCTCCAACACCACAGCTCAAAGGCATCACTTCTCTTATCATCCCTAGTCATTGTTTCACATAAACACAAACAATTGTTCTGGGATTCCCATTCTTCTCAGAGTTAGCCACTGTTTGTTGTAATCCACATAGTCAAAAATGCCTTTGCATAGTCAATGAAACACAGATGGAGTCCAGGTGGTGCAGTAGGTTAAGCAAGTCAGCTGTTGAAATTGCTCTTTATAGCCTTGGAAACTCTAGGCAGTTTCACTCTGCCCAGAAAGGTGCCTATGAGTTGAAACTAACTCATTGCAGTGGGCTTGGTTGGGAAACACATTCATAAGGCTCACTTTTTGGTTGTGATATTTGCTTTATTGTAATGATCAGGAACCAAACTCGCAGTTTCTTCAAAGCTTATTTCTCAATTCGGTCAAATTGGAACCGTCTCAAAGCTGACCCTCTAGAAGATTTTCCAGAAGCTGTAAATCACATGAGAGATTTCCCATCTCTCTCTGGTTGCTATTGGATTAGAACATCTAGGGAGGCGCTGGTTAGCAACACTGAACGAACGCTCTGTGGACTACACCACCAGGTTGAGAAAGAAATATCAAGGTGGTTGTGCACTTACAAAAATGCATAGGCACAGTATTACTTTTTTTTGTTCCGCAACTCAACATACCTTAATACCTCCTTTCCAGCATACCCAGAGTCCAGGTGTCGAATTGTTTAACATATCTGATTGCAAACTAAAAAAGGGCGGGAGTTCGAAAGCACTGGTCGCTCCGAGGGCAAAAGGTGGACAGGCTCCTCCTTTAAAGATTTACCGAATTCATTTTCTGACCACTGGCTTCAAGTTTACATCTTGGAAAGTTGTAAATAAAATATTACTTGTAATTTTTAATTTTTAAATTTTTTTTTTTTTTTTTTACAGCTTCGGGAATGCGACGAGGGGCTCTGCTGTGAGTGGGACATGGCTGAATGGCAGTGTGTTGATTCTGGCTGGTTCTCAAACATGCCGCTTGCATGCTTCTCACTTCACCAAACCCGATCCTGCCAAGTCCCCTGTGAGGTCCCCTGTGAGGTGTGGCTGCTCTTACTAATACTCGAGTCAGAGACCTGGAAGCCACGGTTCAGAGGCCAAGGGGCGGAGGCCTCATGGCCATTATTCCAGGGTCACGGCTCTTTCCTGTAGCTGGCCCTGCCCTGGGGCCCATTAGGGTCGAGCATTCAGAACCTCCGAGGCCCCACAAGCCTGCATGCAGCAGCGACGACGCCCTGACGCTGGCTCCACCGCGCGGAGAGCGGGGATTGAGGCTGGCAGAGGGCTGGGCCGCGAAGTTTTGGAGGAAGTGCCAAGAGCCCAGAGGGAGGGCTGCCGAGGGCCAGTGACGGCCAGCAACAAAGCGGCGAGGCCAGGTGCCACCCGCAAGCCGCGCGCCCCGCCCGCCAGACAGTGCCTGCCGGCCGGGTTACCTGCGGCCGGGGGGCGGGGCGGCTTCCCGTCTGCGCCGGCCCCCAGGCTCCCGGGCGGCGGCGCCGGGAAGTGGGAGCTGGAGCGCTGGAGGCGGGGACTGGTTGCCGAGGCTCCAGCCCAGCTGGGCTTTGAGGCGAGGGGCGCATGGAGCGGCTGGCGCGGCTCTGTGGGCTGTGGGCGCTGCTGCTATGCGCCTCCGGCGGCGGCGGCAGCGGCGCGGCGCCCACCGGTGAGTGCGGCTCTCGGGCTCGCGGTGGCCACGGGACTGGGCTGCCGGGAGTGGGGGGGCGCCTCGGCGGAGAGGCCGGTGAGGGCGCCGCGGAGCTGAGGCTGCTGAGGGGTGGGCGCTGGGGTTGAACTCGAGGCGCCCCGCCATCAGTACCAGGTTCGCGAGGGGGAAGGCCCTGCTCGCGCCTGGCTTCCAAGTGGGGGTACCGGAGCGGCGGGGCTTTCCCGGTTCCCAGGCGCAGAGGCGGCGGCGGCGGCGGCGGAGGATTCGCCTCCGCCTTTCCCTTGCATTGGGAAGAGTTGAAGAGCCCAGCACTGGGGCGCGGGACGGAAACAAGCCCGCAGTGTCGGAGAGCCAGCTGGTCTGGACTCAGAATGTCACCTCAGAGCCCAGGGTAGGGAATGGCGACCCAGAGGTCCGGGCGAGCTGGGACTCTGCCTAGGTCTGCTCCAGCCCTCACTCCGCTAAGGGTGACCCTTGTGGGTGAGAGTTGAAGGGAACCCCTAAATATTATGATTCCTGCAGGGCAAGGAGCTAAGAGGCTCAGGCTTCACTGGTCTTAGAACTGGATTAGGAAACCCGGAGCAGCATCCAGGAGGTGCGGCAACTTTTGTGGGTTTTTGTTGTTGTTAGTTTTTCTTTGATGAACGTTTTATTTTGGGACGACATTAACTTTACAGAAAAGTTGCAAAAATAGTACAGAGTGTCTAGCAGAGTTGCTGTGAAAAGTTGGGGCCTAATGACCACCTAATGGAAGGCTCCTGGAGTGCATGGTCTTCTGGGCGTTCAGCTTTGACTCCATCCAGCTCATACCGACACTGTATGAGAAGATTTCGTAGGTCTATCTTTATGGAAGGAGATAGCCAAGTCATTTCTCTCGCGAGCCTTTTGTGGGTTCTAACCGCTGCCTCCTTGGAGAGGGACATCGTGTTTGGAATGGTGGAGGGACAGCGCAGAAGAGGAAGACCCTCGATGAGGTGGATTGACTCAGTGAATGGAGAAATGGGATTAAGTCTGCCATGAGACTGGCTCAGGATAGGACAGGGTTCAGAACTTGTGTACGTAGGGTCGCTATGAGTCACAGGCCACTCGATGGCACATAACAACAATAACCGCTGCCAACTAGCTTTTAATTGTGTGATCTTGATTACTGCACTGATACAAATATCCACAATTTGTTTATTGAATCTTTACCAGTGATATTTTTGGAAACCCAGATTTAAATGTTGGGCTGACGAAGGGGGGAGGAAGACCCTCAACTAGATTGTTTGACACGATGACTGCTGCAGTGCGTTCTTGTGTGTGAGGAAGTGTGAGGATGGCTCAGGATAGAACAAGGTTCAGATCTGCTTTTCTGTGGGTCACTATGAGTCGCACTCACTCGATGGCACTTAACAACAATAACCAGAGGTTGCTCTGCGTCAGGCAGTGTTCTAGGTCTAGAGACTGAAGACATAACAGTGAACGAAACAGATCAAATCTCTAAACATCTGTATGCTATTGGTAGAGCCAGAGGGAGAAAATAGGATAAAATAAAAGGTATCTAGGATGGTGCTACGCTGACCTAGTAGATAAAAAGTTGTGCCACTAACCTAGATAGAGGCAGGATTTGAATCCACCATCTGCTCTGTGGGAGAAAGACTGGCAGTGTCTGCTAGAGGGTCAGCTATGAGGCAGTTCAACTCGACAACAGTGAGTTGTTGCGAGGTGGTGCCGAGCACTCTGGAGAAAAAGTAAGGGTAAGAGGTTTGCTATTATAAACAGGATAGGGTGGGAAGACCTCTCTGAGTGGTTCTGAGTAGTGATCTGAGGGAGGTTTGAAGTTTGTTAAAACCACTGTGGTCAGGTTATCTCCCACTATCTGAGAGCCTCCATTGAGTTTCTGAGACTTTAAATCTTTACAGAAGGAGACTGCTTCTCTTTCTCTTGCTGCACAGTTGATGGATTTGAACTGACAGTTCAGGCGTTTACCTTGTTTATAAGTGAGCCGGGTTCTGTAGCTTTCCTTAGAGCCTTGTTCAACCTAATCCTGTGGGTCCCCACCCCCAACCCCAATAGTGCTTCTTGTTAAGTTGGGGAAATTGCCGTCCAGGGAAGGGAAGGGATTTATCTGAGGCCACCCATCTCATTATCATCAGTTGCTGACAAGTTGGTTCCAATTCAGGGCCACCCCAAGTATGTAGAGTAGAAGGGCTCCATAGGGGTTTCAAGCTGTGACCTTCCCAAAACATCACCAGGCTTGTCTTTCAGGGGACCTCGGAAATGGGTTCGAACCTGTTTAATTAGTAGTCAAGTACTTAACCGAATGTGTCTTCTGATTCATAGTGACCCATAAGACCCTGTACAAATGCCCCATAGGACTTCCTAGGCTTCTGATTTTCACTTCCAGCACCCCCCAAGATTTCCTCCACCACACACCTGAAACAGCAGTTGGCGTGCCAGACGAGCCCAGTAGCTGCCGACTGCACTGGTTTGCACACAGCAGTTGAGCGGTAACTTGGTTAATGTAGAATACAGAAACTCTCCCCTCTGCCTTATTAGAAACATGGGCAGAATTATATTGAGGAATGAGGAGAGTTTATTTTCGTGATTCTGATGGTCACCAGTTGTGGGAATCTGGTGGCTGAGTTGGTAAGGAGTTGTACTGCCAGTCCCCAACCAGTAGTTCGAATCCACCAGCTGCTCTGAGGGAGAAAGAGGAACAGTCGCCTCACATTTGATTTACGGCATCTGAAAGCCCACTGGAGGGTCAGCTGTGAGTCAGTTCTGACTCAGTGGCCGTGAATTGAGTTTAATTGGGACTCTGAGCTAGTCATTTCCCTTCCAGATGCCACAGTTTTCTTCTCTGTGAAATGGGATTGAAGTCTGTGGGTATCAGGAGTCTTCCAAAATCTAACTTCTGTGAGTGTTTACTAAAATGATTAGGCCACCAGCTTAGTTTATTTAGTCTGTTTAGCTCAAGTTGTGGCACGCCTTAATAACAGCTAACATTTACACTATGTTTACTCTACCTGGGCAGCTTTCTAAGTGCTTTATTTGTGCTATTTCATTTAACCCTTCCAAACAACGAGCTCTGGTGGCAAAGAGCTGCATTTCTAACCCAAAGGACATGATTTGAATCCACCAGCTGCTCCATTTGAGAAAGATGGGCATTTTCACCCCATATAGTTTACAGCCACTGAAAATCCACTGGAGGGTCAACGATGAGTTGGTTCTGACTCAACGGTGCACAACAACAATAAAGCAGCTCTGATGACCTAGTGGGTAAGGAGTTGAACTGCCATCTCAAAGGCAGGTGGCTTGAATCCACCAGCTGCCCCTCGGGAGATCCTACTGGAGGGTGAGCTGTGAGCCAGTTCTGACTCGGCAGCACAGTTAAATACAAGAAGCAACTTATGCTGTAGGTGATGTTATTAGTCTCATTTTGTAGGTGAGGAAGCTGAGGCACAGTGAGGCTAAGACCTTTGCTCAGAGTGGCAGAGCTGGTTAAGTGGAAACCAGACTTCCAACCTAGAGTCTGATTCCAGAGACCATGCCCTTGTCACTCTCCTTGGTGGCAGTGAGCACAGCCATTGTCTGGGAATAGGGCTGGGCACTTCCCAGGGTAGCAGAACAGGACTGTTGGGATCCTTGAAGTCATTTGTAAAGACATGAATGCTCAGGTATTGGAGACTCATGTTATAATTGCTGGACTGTGTAATCCAAACAGTAACTACTATAGGTTTTTTTAGAAGAGAGAAAATGGCTAGAGCTAGCAGGTTCATGGAAGAAGCAAAACTTGAGCTGAACCCTCAGGATTGGGTGGACTTTAGTAGGTGGAGAAGTCCTTCTCAGTGAGGAGAATGGTAGGGGCCGAGATCCATAAACAGGGGTGAGAGTTCCTCCTTTGTGGTCACCGAAGAGCCTTGCTCGGCAGGAGAGCATGTCTGAAAAATCAGTTGGAGCAGACGAGTTTCATTTTCCTTTAAAGGCTCTGAGCGAGGCACAGTGTGAGCGGAAATGACAGCAGAGGAGTGATCCAGGAGAAGTGGCTGGATCAGGGAGTCACAGGAGCATGGAGCACCTTCAGAGTCGAGTGCAGAAAGTAGTGAGCACTGCCATTGCAAGACCATGACCCACTAATATCTGCCCTTCTCACAGTAGTCTGACGAGGGTGACTAAGGGAGATGTTGCAAGAAAAAAAGGAAAAAAATGGACAGTAGTTGACTCAGGGGATGTGAGAAAAGGAGATCGGTGACTCAGCTGTGACGATGGTGGTTTTCTTAACTTTTCCCACAATGTGCCTGCCCCTGCGAGCTCCTGAGTTTGGACAGAGAGATCAAAAGCTAAGCAACATGCCACCTTCTTATTAGAAAGGGTAGCAAATGTCTTAGTTCCTAAGTGGACAGGATATCGTGCCAGATGACCATAAAGACATGTATACAGCTTGAAGTTTAGTAAGGGGAAGCTATTTGGGTCCTTCAGTTCTCCCCACTCTCCATTATAAAGCCCTCAAAAAAAGTTCCAGAGGGTGGGGGTTGGAAATGGTTGAAATGGCATTCCTAAGGAAAGCTTATCAGGCAGAAGGGATATTTGTTCTGTCCCAAAGGCCATGGACACACACACATGTCAATTCCACATGAAACTGAAACAACTATTTTCAGATTGTTGGCTGAGAAAGCAAGCAAGTTAACACTTAAATAGCACTTGTAGAGATGTTGTAGAGATCGAGTTAGAACCAACCCATAGCTTGACCCTCCAGCAGGTTTTCAGAGGCAACTAATCGCACAGGAAGAGATTGCCCGGCCTTCTCCCGCAAGGCAGCCTGTGGCCTTGAACAGCTTGCCTTCAGTATTGCAGTGCAGCTTCTTGCCACTGGGCCACCAAAGCTCTTGGTACCAAAAGACTGTTCTGAATACTTGACCTGTACTGGCTCCTTTAATAATTTTCACAGCAACCCTTTCAAGTGGGTTCCTGTGATCATTTTTCTATTACAGATGGGGAAACTGAGGAATAAAGAGGCTAACTAACTTGCCACCAGGCTGCTTGGAAATCCTCCAGTGACAAAATACTGAGGTTGGAAGTAGATTTCAACAGGTTTCACGTTGCTTTGAAAATTAGAGTATAGTTTGAAGTCAAGTCATCATTTCATTATCAGAGATTTCAGTTTTACATGAGAGTGGGAGGGAGGCAGGTGAATGAGGTATTGGGAAGAGTTAAACCAGGTGTCCTCAGGGGAGTGGGGTTCAGGTTAGGATTCTCAACGTCAGTGCCAGGTTCAGTTCCTGGACAATGCATGATATGCAGATCCACCACGTATCTGCTTATTTCTGGGTTGCTGAGCCCGTATCAGTGGAGCTTCCAGGTTGACAGACTAAGAAGAAAGAGCTGGCAAACTACTTCTGAAAATCAGCCAAGGAAAATCTCACGGAGCACAATCTTATGTGCATGGGATTGTCCTGACTTGAAGACCATGGCAGCTAACAACAGCCTAGATATTGTGACCATGGGTTCCTGAATCTGCAGAATAAGGAAGACAATCTTAGATTATAGTCTCCCATCACTTATTGGAGGCTCTACGGCTAAAAAATGATTTGTCTTCAAAAATATCAATGATGT